TTAAAGGTGTGTGCAGGATTGTGCCCGCAGCACGCACCTTGCTGGATGTTTCTGGAGCACAAAATGTGGGACTTTGAGCTCCTTCAAGCTCCTTCTTCCTTGCCCCCACTTCTGTCCCCACCTCCCGGGACCATCTCCTGGGCTCAAGAGTGCAGGCTCTGGGGTCTGGTTGAATCCCTGTGTAGCTGCCTTTGGCTCCACTGAAATGTGTGTCTTTGTGGCACCTGAGTGCAGGCCCCACTGAAACTCCTAGCCTGGCATCTTTTACACACTTTAGGGGCTTCGCCTCTGCTCACAGCCCCTGCCAGCATGGGTGTGGCGAGGCACTGGGGGGATGAGGCTTTGCCAGCCCTGGAGTGACAGTGACAGCAGCTGCCCAGCAGGATTCGAAGGAGAGTTTTAAAAGGGTGTTGAGAAATTGGTGAGGGGGCAGATAAGAGCCACAAAAATAAGCTGAGGGCTGGAGAAAACGCCTGACACAGTGAGAGACAAAGAGCTCGATCTGTTGAGTTTATCCCACAGAAGCTAAGGTGGGTAGTGACTTGATCACTATGGAGGCCCCTTCATGGGGAGAAAACACCAGGTACTAATGGGCTCTTTGATCTAGTGGAGAAAGGCAGAACAAGAGCAAATGGCTGGCAGCTGAAGCCAGGCAGATTCAGATTAGAAATAAGGCACAACTGTTTAACGGGGAGGGGGGTTAACCATAGGAACAAACATGCTGGGGACTTAAAGGGGAAGCCACTCCTGTGCTTAGATCCAAGCCTTTCTGGAAGAGGCTTTAGCCAAACACATGTCACTGGGCTCAGGACAGGGGGGACTGGGTGACCTTTTCTGGCCTGTGCTCTATTGCAGGTCAACCTGGATGCTCTGATTGTCCCTTCTGTCCTGATGCTCTCTGGAGCTATAAGAGCCTTGTGAGGTTCAGGGGTGCTTTCTGCAAAGTGCACAGCTCAGGCCTCTGCCTCCCCTTCATCTGAGTACAGGAGTGGCTTTCCCTTTAAATCGTCAGTCCCCAGCTCAACCAACTGCCAAGGGGGCTGCCTGCTTCCTGCTCAGAACAGTTCCCCCACCACTGGTAAAGCTGCGTCTATCTGATGACACCAGGAAGCAGGTGTATCCGACACGCTTGCCTGTCCCTGGCTTTATCAAGAGTCAGCTCTCCCTGTGAAACTCAGACGCATCTGGTACACACTGCCATCAGCTGTCGGAAGTTGCTTTTCGTTATCGTTAGGAACATATTGCCTCTGGCTGTTGGAAGTTGCTCTTTGTTATCATTAGGAAACTGCACGAACACAGTGAGCTGCTTTGATGTCATTGCTCATGTTCGCAAAAAGAAAAGGAGTACTTGTGGCACCTTAGAGACTAACCAATTTATTTGAGCATGAGCTTTCGTGAGCTACAGCTCACTTGCTCATTCCAGTGTCTCCCTCAGCAAACTGGTGCCACAAACAGAAGGATTTGAACTCACAGACCCAAGGAGACCTAGAGCCCTACTTACACATCGCTCAGCTGGTGTCAGTCATCAAAGCTCCAGCAGGTTGATTTACAGCAGCTGGGGCTCCAGCCTTGAGATTTCGATATTAATATTTCCCAGTAACTTGCACTGGGTGAAATTCACTGGGGGCAGAGAGTGGCACTGTGGGGAGAGATCATAGATCATAGAATATCAGGGTTGGAAGGGACCTCAGGAGGTCATCTAGTCCAACCCCCTGCTCAAAGCAGGACCAATCCCCAATTTTTGCCCCAGATCCCAAATGGCCCCCTCAAGGATTGAACTCACAACCCTGGGTTTAGCAGGCCAATACTCAAACCACTGAGCTATCCCTCCCCCAGTTAGGTGCATCCAGTGGTCCCATGCAGCTGTTGCATCAGGGCTGAGCCTGATATTCCAGCCCAGAGCTGCCCAGCACCCCAGCAGTCTGGTTGGGGGGTGCTTTTACCTGCACAGAGTCTCAATGCAAGTGGCGTGAACTTCCGCTGTTTAGCACAGAGAAGCATAATGGGCTAGATCCTGAGCATGTATAAATTGGTGTCGCTCCATCGCTTAGCACTGATGCATTCGCGCTTGCTGAGGGGCTCCTCGTATTTACCAGCTCAAGTGTTGTGGTTAGTCCCTGAGGTCATCCTCTTCCTTGCGCTAGCTGGTGCTTGATCCATTGGTAACAGTGTAAATGGTGAAACTCTGTTCCTCAGCCCAGATTTTCAAATCCAACTTCTCCTTTCGAGTGAAAGGAAGAACATTTAACCCTGAGGGAGGACTCCAGGCCTGGGCATTCACCAGTGTTGGGTTTTGCATGTGCATGAATGACGTGTGCTTGAGGTTGATTAAAATGGGAGAGTCTTTGCACTGGGACAATCCCATTCTCTCGGCTGCTGAAGCTTGGCCTAGTGGCACAAAGGCTGTTACAACTGGAGGCTTCTTTAGCTGCAGTGGATAGCCAAAACTTCTGTAGTTCCCCATCATGCCTTTCGCCTTCCACAATACGTTGCTGCACTGCTTTTCAAGCCATTGGACCAAGATATGGTCTCTTCCATCTTGGCTAACAGAACAGTCTTCGTATGCTTGGGAGGGCAATCCCTAAATCACCGTCAGTTTCCACACTTCCGGTTACCCTCACTGGGTTCATCACATCATGCTTTATCACTGCACTGCGAACAGGAGCAGGTAGATGGAGCAGGTTTGTGACAGCTTGTTTCATAGAATATCAGGGTTGGAAGAGACCTCAGGAGGTCATGTAGTCCAGCCCCCTGCTCAAAACAGGACCAACCCCAACTAAATCATCCCAGATGGCTTGTTTACCAGCTTCCACTCTGGGATAGCGACCACTGGCCATGAATGAATTATGAGACAAACAAGAGTGAGGGTTCAGGCAGCTGCGCGGTGCCATTCTGTTTTTACAGACACATGCACACACACACCCTTCAGGGCAGCGGCATCGAACTGGCTGGTGCTCAGAACGATCACCTCACTGACTCCTTTCTCAGCAGGCCAGCATGGCAGGAATCTGAGGAATTACAAAGCTCCCCCTAGCTTGAGCTGGCTCCATCTGGCAGCCCCTTATGGGGCTGGTGGGACAGTGCCTAGGAAGTGGCTTAGAGCAGCGCTGTAAATATTTTGCGAATTGCAGTTACTCCCTATCTATCCATGGATGCAAAGGGGGTGGCAGAGGAGGATCTGTCCCTGCAACTGAAATAGCTAGCAGTTCTGTTGCTGATGTGTAAGCCAGAACAGAATCTGGCTCCCAGTACCAGAGCAGGGCTTCCCCCTGCAGGTGTATAAAGCAAAGAGAATGTACTGTGACAAAGTTCTGTCCTTGCCTCCGTGGGTCCCGCGTTTCCTGGTGGATTAAGCTAGCCTCAGAGGCTCAATATGACCCTGCACGTAACCCTTCTCTCTCTAGAGACAAGGGTCACAGTCTACTGAGCCATTTTCATCATAAGCCAGCGAGGGAGGTGAGGAGAAGTTATCCTTCTTTGCACAGTCTCTGTTGTCTCCCAGTCTCAGTGATTAATCAGGGGGCAAAGTTGGGGCAGGGGGAGCCTGGGCCCACCCTCTACTCCGGGCTCCAGCCTAGGGACCCTAATAGTATCAGCTATGTTAGCTGACCTTTTAGAAACATGACATGTACAATTCCCTGGGCTACTTCCCCCACAGCAGCCCTCACTTCCTCAAGCTCCACTTCACCCTTACCTCAGGGCCTCCTTCCTTGTGCCTGTTATGGTGTGTACTACTCAGCCTCTCCAACAGCGCAACTTCCTCCCACAGCTTCTGACATGCACCCCCCCGACTAACTGGGAGGCTTTTAACTAGTTTCAGCCAGCCCCTGATTGGCTTCAGGTGTCCCAATCAACCTTGCCTTCTTCCTGCCTTCTGGAAAGTTCTTAATTGGCCCCAGGTGTCTTAATTGACCTGGAGCAGCTGCCATTTCACTTATCCTGGTACCAGGGATTTGTTTAGCCTGGAGCTAATATATCTATCTCCCACTACTTTTCTATAGCCATCTGGCCTTGCCCCGTCACAGTACATTGTCACTGACATGTGTCAATGAGAAGTGGAATATGGGCGGCGAGTGAGAGGGGCATTTGACATAGGTGCTTTTCAGACTGTTATCACTTTTAAACTGTGCTTCATAAACACCAGAAAGTCCTCGTATGACTAAGGGCTGCTTGACACACATGAAGACTTCACAGCCTTTTGCTGTAACATGTTTTTTTCTTGTTTGTTTGGTTTTTTTGGTCAATAATCAAAATTTCATCAAAGATTTGAAATTGAGAAATGACAAATCGCTCTATCGCCAACTGAAGAACAAGGGGGAAATTGTCAATATTTTGTTGTTCTTTATCTTGGTCAAAATTTGAAATTGCAAAACCAAATTTCACCAAAATTCAAACAACTTTTGACATGCCATGCAGATCGTACCACAAGGGGACTCACACATGGCTGCTGCCTTGGCGCAGAAGTGCCAGGCTCTGGTCTCTGGTTTCTAGTGGCAGGAGATGTCAGTTTGTGGCACATCTGACAGTGTAAAGACCTGCAGTAAGAACAGAGTAACAGCATGCAAGTCTGTGGCCAGCCTCCTGTAACAAAGCAGAGATCCATTGGCAAGTAGGACCCTCTGCCACACAGCCTGGGATGGGTATTGCAACCACATAAAATAGCTTTGGGAGCACATTGTATTAAGTTTGTATATTACTGTGGGCCAGGGATTTTATGTAACTCCAGAGGGGAGGATTTTCACAGCTCCTCCAGGAACCAACAACAGGAAAGGGGAGGGGGGATTAAGGTTTACCAAGGAATCACTGGGGTTTTAAACACCTTCAGAGAGGTACCACCCCTGGGGAGGCCTGTTTATACTGGTTCAAACTGAGTTTTTCTGAGATAAAGAAAGGGCTTTTGATGTAAAAAGATTGTGTTTAAACAGACTCAGGGCCTTCCTTCTGATCCAGCAAATGGACAGGACCTTCTGTCCAAGGTCCTTGTGGAAGGTTGGAAAGACTTTGGCTTACTAGGGTTCCATAAGCCCTGGTCTACACTAGGACTTTAGGTCGAATTTAGCAGCGTTAAATCGATGTAAAACTGCACCCGTCCACACGATGAAGCCCTTTATTTCGACTTAAAGGGCTCTTAAAATCGATTTCCTTACTCCACCCCGACAAGTGGATTAGCGCTTAAATCGGCCTTGCCGGCTCGAATTTGGGGTACTGTGGACACAATTTGACGGTATTGGCCTCTGGGAGCTATCCCAGAGTGCTCCATTGTGACCGCTCTGGACAGCACTCTCAACTCAGAGGCACTGGCCAGGTAGACAGGAAAAGAACCACAAACTTTTTAATTTCATTTCCTGTTTGGCCAGTGTGGCAAGCTGCAGGTGACCATGCAGAGCTCATCAGCAGACGTGACCATGATGGAGTCCCAGAATTGCAAAAGAGCTCCAGCATGGACTGAACGGGAGGTACGGGATCTGATCGCTGTATGGGGAGAGGAATCCGTGCTATCAGAACTCCGTTCCAGTTTTCGAAATGCCAAAACCTTTGTCAAAATCTCCCAGGGCATGAAGTGACAGAGGCCATAACAGGGACCCGAAGCAGTGCCACGTGAAACTGAAGGAGCTGAGGCAAGCCTACCAGAAAACCAGAGAGGCGAACGGCCGCTCCGGGTTAGAGCCCCAAACATGCCGCTTCTATGATGAGCTGCATGCTATTTTAGGGGGTTCAGCCACCACTACCCCAGCTGTGTTGTTTGACTCCTTCAATGGAGATGGAGGCAACATGGAAGCAGGTTTTGGGGACGAAGAAGATGATGATGATGATGATGATGAGGTTGTAGATAGCTCACAGCAAGCAAGCGGAGAAACCGGTTTTTCCGACAGCCAGGAACTGTTTCTCACCCTGGACCTGGAGCCAGTACCCCCCGAACCCACCCAAGGCAGCTTCCTGGACCCGGCAGGCGGAGAAGGGACCTCCGGTGAGTGTACCTTTTAAAATACTATACATGGTTTAAAAGCAAGCATGTGAAAGGATTACTTTGCCCTGGCATTCACGGTTCTCCTGGATGTACTCCCAAAGCCTTTGCAAAAGGTTTCTGGGGAGGGCAGTCTTATTCCGTCCACCATGGTAGGACACTTTACCACTCCAGGCCAGTAACACGTACTTGGGAATCATTGTACAACAAAGCATTGCAGGGTATGTTTGCTGGCGTTCAAACAACATCCATTCTTTATCTCTCTGTGTTATCCTCAGGAGAGTGAGATATCATTCATGGTCACCTGGTTGAAATAGAGTGCTTTTCTTCAGGGGACACTCAGAGGAGCCCGTTTCTGCTGGGCTGTTTACCTGTGGCTGAACAGAAATGTTCCCCGCTGTTAGCCACGGGGAGGGGGGAGTGTTGAGGGGGTAGCCACGCAGTAGGGGGAGGCAAAATGCGACCTTGTAACGAAAGCACATGTGCTATGTATGTAATGTTAAGAGCAAGGTTTACCCTGAAAGAGTGTAGCCACTGTTTTATAAAATGTGTCTTTTTAAATACCGCTGTCCCTTTTTTTTTCTCCACCAGCTGCATGTGTTTCAATGATCACAGGATCTTCTCCTTCCCAGAGGCTAGTGAAGATTAGAAAGAAAAAAAAATGCACTCGTGATGAAATGTTCTCTGAGCTCATGCTGTCCTCCCACACTGACAGAGCACAGACAAATGCGTGGAGGCAAATAATGTCAGAGTGCAGGAAAGCACAAAATGACCGGGAGGAGAGGTGGTGGGCTGAAGAGACTAAGTGGTGGGCTGAAGAGAGTAAGTGGCGGGCTGAAGACAGGGCTGAAGCTCAAATGTGGCGGCAGCGTGATGAGAGGAGCCAGGATTCAATGCTGAGGCTGCTGGAGGACCAAACCAGTATGCTCCAGTGTATGGTTGAGCTGCAGCAAAGGCAGCTGGAGCACAGACCGCCGCTACAGCCCCTGTGTAACCAACCACCCTCCTCCCCAAGTTCCATAGCCTCCACACCCAGATGCCCAAGAATGCGGTGGGGGGGGGGGCACCGGCCAACCAGCCACTCCGCCACAGAGGATTGCCCAAAAAAAAGAAGGCTGGCATTCAATAAATTTTAAAGTTGTAAACTTTTAAAGTGCTGTGTGGCATTTTCCTTCCCTCCTCCATCACCCCTCCTGGGCTACCTTGGTAGTCATCCCCCTATTTGTGTGATGCATGAATAAAGAATGCATGAATGTGAAGCAACAATGACTTTATTGCCTCTGCAAGCAATGATTAAAGGGAGGAGGGGAGGGTGGTTAGCTTGCAGGGAAGTAAAGTGAACCAAGGGGCGGGGGGTTTCATCAAGGAGAAACAAAGAGAACTTTCACACCGTAGCCTGGCCAGTCATGAAACTGGTTTTCAAAGCTTCTCTGATGCGTACCGCGCCCTCCTGTGCTCTTCTAACTGCCCTGGTGTCTGGCTGCGCGTAACCAGCAGCCAGGCGATTTGCCTCAACCTCCCACCCTGCCATAAATGTCTCCCCCTTACTCTCACAGATATTGTGGAGCACACAGCAAGCAGTAATAACAGTGGGAATATTGGTTTCGCTGAGTAAGTAAGCGAGTCAGTAAACTGCGAGTCAGTTAAGCGAGTCAGTAAACTGCGCCAGCGCGCCTTTAAATGTCCAAATGCACATTCTACCACCATTCTGCACTTGCTCAGCCTGTAGTTGAACAGCTCCTGACTGATGTCCTGGCTGCCTGTGTACGGCTTCATGAGCCATGGCATTAAGGGGTAGGCTGGGTCCCCAAGGATAACTATAGGCATTTCAACATCCCCAACAGTTATTTTCTGGTCTGGGAATAAAGTCCCTTCTTGCAGCTTTTGAAACGGACCAGAGTCATTATGTTGGATCATATTAAAGAAGTTCTGTATTAAAATCACAAATGAGTTTGATTCCCCATAGTTTAAATTCCAGGGTATTACTAATTAAGAGGTCTCTTGGCTTTTGGTACTGTTTCTCTCCCTCTATGTGTGAAACTTGCAAGCTGCTAATTGTGTTAGTACATTCTAAGACAGAGTCTGTTCTCAAAGCAATTCACAGAGAGAGAGACTCAAAGCAATACTCTAACAACAGAAACAGCACCCAGAGACTCCCCACCCTTTTGTTGTATTAACAATTGTGATTAAAATAGAGATAGAGGATGTATGTGGATGGATGCTTGGTGTGGATAATAACTGAATGATCAGGGAGGTGCCAGCCTAAGAATCCAGTGTCCATCGGCTGAAGAAGGCGTCAAGTGGAAATAACCAGAGGACCCCCCGGAGGGCAGACTGGAATCCACCCAACAGCCTCAAGAATGGGAGAACCAAAGAACAAGATAACATCTTGGAGCCGTCAGGAATGTGCTATCTGCTGATTGATTCAGCAACAGCATGATGAAGCAATTCCCATAGGCTGGCATAGGAAGAAATTCCTATAAAAATAGACTCTAAAAAGTGAGAACTTTGGGGGTCTGATTCTGCAAACCAACTTCCAGGAGCATCAGATGTGCATCTGACAAGGCCCTGCTCCCTCCTCATGTCCAGGCCACCTGGCCAGTGGCTTGGCATGAGCAACTCTAAGGCTGGTAACTATGATAACAACCTTGCAGAACCTGTGTGTGTGTGTGTGTTTGTATGAATGAATGTGTGAATAAATATGAGATTGAATGGAATGTTATAACTAGAACTAACTGCTTTCTATGATTCTTTCTGTATTCACAATAAATGTGGTATTTTGCCTTTTTCCCTTTAATAAGATCCTGCTGGTTTTTATTTTATTGGTACAACACCTGAAGATGCGAGCGTCATGTACCTTTCCCGGCCGTCCCACGTTGATGTTGGTGAAATGTCCCTTGTGATCCACCAGAGCTTGCAGCACTATTGAAAAGTACCCCTTGTGGTTTATGTACTCGCCGGCTTGGTGTTCCGGTGCCAAGATAGGGATATGAGTTCCGTTTATGGCCCCATCACAGTTAGGGAATCCCATTGCAGCAAAGCCATCCACTATGACCTGCACATTTCCCAGGGTCACTACCCTTGATATCAGCAGATCTTTGATTGCGTTGGCTACTTGCATCACAGCAGCCCCAACAGTAGATTTGCCCACTCCAAATTGATTCCCAACTGACCGGTAGCTGTCTGGCGTTGCAAGCTTCCACAGGGCTATCGCCACTCGCTTCTCAGCTGTGAGGGCTGCTCTCATCTTGGTATTCATGCGCTTCAGGGCAGGGGAAAGCAAGTCACAAAGTTCCATCAAAGTGCCCCTACGCATGCGAAAGTTTTGCAGCCACTGGGAATCATCCCAGACCTGCAACACTATGCGGTCCCACCAGTCTGTGCTTGTTTCCCGAGCCCAGAATCGGCGTTCCACAGCATGAACCTGCCCCATTAGCACCATGATGCGTGCATTGGCAGGGCCCATGCTTTCAGAGAAATCTGTGTCCATGTCCTCATCACTCACGTGACCGCGCTGATGTCGCCTCCTTGCCCGGTATCGCTTTGCCAGGTTCTGGTGCTGCATATACTGCTGGATAATGCGTGTGGTGTTTAATGTGCTCCTAATTGCCAAAGTGAGCTGAGTGGCCTCCATGCTTGCCTTGGTATGGCGTCTGCACAGAAAAAAGGTGCGGAACGATTGTCTGCCGTTGCTCTGATGGAGGGAGGGGCGACTGACGACACGGCTTACAGGGTTGGCTTCAGGGAGCTAAAATCAACAAAGGGGGTGGCTTTACATCAAGGAGTATTTCAGGCAGGACTTCACGGAGGGTTCCAATAAGAAATGGTGCACCTAAGTTATTGTTCTTATTGGTAACAATGAGGTTAGTCTGGCCTCTGATTGATACATGGCTAGATTTACCTTGCTGCACCTTCTCTGTGTGTGACTGCAGTGTGACCTAGAGGAATGAGTCCCCTAGATGGGGGGGGAAGCAAATGAGTACAAAACAAATCTAGTCTATTTCTTGTTTTGATCCACTCCATCTATCTTTTACATCTTTGGCTGGCAGCAGATGGTGCAGAAGGACTGCATGCCATCCACATCTCATGGCTGCCCGGCAGAAGATGATGCAATAGGACTGCTAGCAATCCGTATCGCCTGCCTGCTCACCATAAGACGGTTCAATAGGACTGACTGCAGGACTAAAGAGAATGACCTGGTCGAGTCACTCCAAATTTAGTCCCTGCACCCATGTCTGCCCAGGCACTCCTGGCCGACGTGGCCAGGAGCACCTCGGACATGATGAGGACGGCTACCAGTCGTACTGTACCGTCTGCTGCCACAAGGCAATGGGTTGCTGCTACTGTGTAGCAATGCAGTACCATGTCTGACAGCACCCAGGAGACATAGGGTGACGGTTACCTGAGCGGGCTCCATGCTTGCCGTGGTATGGCTTCTGCAAAGGTAACTCAGGAAAAAAGGCGCGAAACGATTGTCTGCCCTTGCTTTCACGGAGGGAGGGAGGGAACGGGGGCCTGACGATATGTACCCAGAACCACCCTCGACAATGTTTTTGCCCCATCAGGCATTGGGATCTCAACCCAGAATTCCAATGGGCAGCGGAGACTGCGGGAACTGTGGGATAGCTATCCACAGTGCAACGCTCCGGAAGTCGACTCTAGCCTCGGTACTGTGGAAGCACTCTGCCGAGTTAATGCACTTAATGCACTTAGAGCATTTTCTGTGGGGACACACACACTTGAATATATAAAACCGATTTCTAAAAAAACGACTTCTATAAATTTGACCTGATTTCGTAGTGTAGACATATCCTAAGACTGAGTGGTGACACCTGGGACTTTTAGGGTGTGTTTAAATAGGTTTGTTTTTTCATATGGTTTCTCTGAAATGCATTGACTCTAAGAATAACGGTGCTTGCTTAGAAGAGCTGGGTGGTAACTGTAACTGCTGGCAATACGCAGTTCCTAACCCCCTGGCCATTAGGCAGACTGGCTTCCTGAAGATATCACAGCGTAAGGCAGGGGACTGTGCAGCCTTAAAACCCCAGTCAGAAGCAGGGGCATAGCCATGGGTGGGCCTGGGTGGGCCACAGCCCACACACTTAGCATCCAGGCCCACCCAAATCTCAGCAGGGGTGCAGGGCTGCTACAGCGGCCTGGAGCATCACTCAGTCACCTGAAATCCAGGCTGGAGCTGTGCACCGGCCCTTCAGAAAGCTACTCTCCAGCAGCTCTGCCTGGCCAGTTCCTGAGCTGCCCCAAGCGCATGCCCAGCTCGGCAGGTGAAGCCCTGTGTCTGGGGGTACCAGGGCTAGGAAGAGGGCATGGCGTTGGGGGCGAAGCTGAGCTAGCCCAGTCTGTCATTGCCTGCCCATCCGAAAGTCAGGGCCCACCCAGATTTCCACCCAGCCTCCCAGAGTTACCTGCCCGACTGAATCCCCAGCAGGGAAGAGGGAATCACACAGCCACTTTGCCAAAACTAGTCAATGTTCATGCCGAGCCATCCGCACTCTCAGCCACCACCGTCCTGGGTGCAGATCCATCGGACCCCCAGTGGGGGCAGAAGCAGGTAGTTAATGGGGAAACATACTGGGTCTGGTAAGACAGTAGATAAACCCCGTGTCATGAAACTCTGTCAGATGTTCCCAGGGTGTGAAACGTGGGTTAAAGTTCACGGTGCAAATCATAGAATCTCAGGGTTGGAAGGGACGTCAGGAGGTCATCTAGTCCAACCCCCTGCTCAAAGCAGGACCAATCCCAGCTGCCCTTGCTCTGCCTCCAGTGCAGGAAGGGCTGGGGTGCTGGAGTCGGGCGTGTTATCAGGCAGACACTCTGTTTCCTTTGCTTTTGGGAAATGACCTCATGGCCCTAAAGGCAGCAGGGGTGAATTGGGCCCCTCTGTTAGCTCCAGCCCTTCTGGGAAGTGTGTACGCCACAATGCAAATGGAGTAGCTGAGAAGAGAGAGGGGAGCTGTATCCTCCCTGTCCGTATCCCAGAGGAAACACTCTCGAGATCAGGTTATCTTCCCAGCATGTGCAAACATATGCCTGGCAGTCAGGGAAGGTGCATGCATGTGAGGCTGCCTCCTGATTCCATGGGAGCACAGAGTCCTACTGACTTGAAGGGAAATTCCAAGTCCTGAAGCCCAGGCCAAAAAAACAAGCTCTTTGCATCTCCTTACCAAGGAACCAGAGGCAGGAAACAGCAAGATGATGGTGCTGTCTCCAGACAAAAGTGGGGACACTGAGGCAGCTGCAGGGCACAGCCCAATCTATGACACCCACCCACAGGTGGGAAATGCCCAAATAAAGTGCACAACAGCTGCGTGGGAGATGACTAAGGTAACTACAGATAGGAAGGGGGGGACTTCTCCCCCCATTGGCAACTGCCTGATGGTCTGTGAAAATGTACAGAACCCTGAGCTGGGTGGGGAAAGAACTGCTGCTCACCTTGACTCAGTGTGTGGGGAGCAAAAGGCCACCCCAGTGGGCTGGCAGAACAATAGTCTTCCCTCTCCACTCCGAGAAACTGAAGTGAGGCCAAAAGGGGTCCCTAAGCCCCAGCCTCCGAGGAGGTGGGGCAGAGAAAGGGATTTACTATGGGGGAGGTTTGAAGCATCTCCCTTGCCCAATCTCTCTGCTGTTTTAAACAGTGCATGGCTGACAGCTGCTTCACAGGGAGCCAGCCCTGCCTTGTTCCTCCCTTTGGGCCAAAGAGTTGCTTCATGAAATACTCCAAGGGGCGGGTGGGGAACTTCAACCCACTGCTAGAGCAGTGGGCACCTTGAGGCAGAGCTGGCGCTAGGCATAGGCAGACTATGCAATTGCTTAGGGCCCTGAGCATCTCAATGGGCCCCCCATTTGTTTTTTATTATAAGAACTTGTCTGTTTTATTATGGGGGGGGGGAATATTCCTGCTTAGGGCCCCCCATGGGCTAGCACTGGCTCTGCCTTGCAGCACAAAGGGACACTCCCTAGGAACCGCATGACCGGTCTCAAGTTCACACCCGAAGGTTTTGGGGTGACAGGAGTAAGAGGGGGCACATGAGAGCTCCCCCTACAAATGCCCTAAGGTCTAAAGAGAGAAATTACATAGGAGGGTTTTCAAAAGACTGTATGGATTTATGACTGATGTGTGGCAGCTGCTCTGCAGAATGGTTATAAGGTGAATAGCTGAAATGTGAAACATGAAAGGTAATGACAGAATTGCCATCCAGGATGCTGTGTGGGTACCCTAGTTAGATCCACTTCTTTATGGGGGACATGTGAAAAATATTACAATTGAAAGGAATATCTTTGGGGCCCGCAGTCTATTAAGTTTATGTATCACTGTGGGCCAGGGATTGTATGAAACTCCAGGGGGCAGGGTTACCACAGCTCCTCCAGAAACCAAAAACAGTGCTTGTGTGTGTGTGTGCATGTATGAGGGGTGATTAAGGTGAATTATTTGGGTTGTAAACTCCTCCGGAGAGGTACCACCTCCTGGGGAGACCTGTATATACTGGTTCAACCTGGGTTTTCCTGAGACCAACAAAGAAAGGGCTTTTGATATCAAAATGCTGAGTTTAAACTGACTCGGGACCCTTTTTTTCTGATCCAGCAAACAGATAGGACCTTCTGTCCAAGGGGGGCCCAACCTTTGTGGAAGGTTGGAAAGACTTTGGCCTACGAGGTCCCCTAAGACTGATGGGTGACCTCTGGTGAGCTTCTAGCATGTGGGAAGGCACTTTGATTGTTTTCCTATGGTTTCTCTGTAATGCTTTTACCGTAAGAATAAATGTGCT